GATTTGCAGGAGGTGGCCCTCGCCCCCGGGAGGCTGGCCTCTGACCTGCCATCTCTCCCTGCTGCTGCCACGGCTCCCACCTTTCCGAGCAGAGGAGGGTGTGGGATGAGAGCTCTTGGACTTGGGGTGGGAAAGACGCCTCGTTACAAATCTGCAAGTGAACCTGGAGCAGACTGGCTCCTCATCACCGTTGTGCCATTTCCAGGGCCTCTGGAGAGAGACCGGAATGTTCTGGGGAAAAGGAAGGCAGCGCTGTGCTCTGCTTAGTCTTTTCGGGAGGGAGGTACGGGGGTGATGGGGGGCCAAGGGCGAGGCGGCCGCCCTGCATGTGTCCAAGGGGCCCCCACCCTCCCCTCCCCAGGTGGCCAGAGGGGTCGTGAAGAAAAGCACCTCCCAGGAAGAAAGGAAAGGTCATGACAGCTCACCACTGCCCAGCGCCCCGGTGGCTGCATGAGCCCACGAGGGCTGGGCATGAGCACACACACGCGCCCCCGGCCCCCCACACACTCGCTCACCCGCCTCTCAGAAGCCAAAGCAGGAGAGGGTTAGGAGCAGCTAACAGCAGCACTGTTTCACCGTCCCCGGCAGCCGTGTACCGCCATTCACAGTCAGCGCCAGCCGAGACCACATCTGTGATGCTGGGGTCCCTCTGGCGCACCCGGGTCCACGCAGGTCTGCCCTCTTGCTGGTGGCCCTGCAGCCCCACCTAGTTCCGTGCATCCCGGGACTGCAGGGTGGCCCCCGGGGGTGTGAATGGGGAGCTGGGTCCCCCCTCCCCCGACAGCCACTCTTACTGCCTGGCTCTGCCTTCTTGCTCCCTGACAAGGGACCCTCCAGCGTCCTCTCTGGACTTTCCAGGGCCCCTCAGAGCTGCTGAAATGCCTGGTTCTCGGTCAAGGGAGAAGGGCCCCCGTGTTAGCTGTCAGAGATGATCTCCCATCCAGGGTGTGAAGAAGAGATGGAAGGAAAAGTGCATGAACCACTGGGAACTGGACAGAAGCGAGCATGGCTCTGCCCCGAAGCCTGCCAGCTGTCACCCCTCTCTGTTGAGCTTTGACTCACATAAGTCACTTGGTTTGGGACCAGCCACCCCTCCAAAACAGCAGCAGACCCAGGTTCTCGGGACCCCGGGGGCTCCCCCGATTCCCCAGAAACACGAGCTTATTTTAGCGGGAACGTTTGAGGTCAGCTCCTCAGCTCTTTCCTGGTAAAGCACTGACCCCAGAAAGCGCTCGCAGGGACTGTGGGCTCCACGCCGCGGCCCCGGGTCCACCAGCCACCTGCCCTCTCCTGCCAGGTGGCAGGCATGGGGAGGCCAGCCCCACCAGGGACGTCCTCAGGTCTTGGGGGAGGTGGGGAGGGATGACCACTTCCCTGATGCGCAGAAATCAGGAGGTATCGAGATGAAGACCGAGGTGGGAGAGCCGAGGGCTCTGGAGCTGGGGGCGCTGACGGCAGGTGCATGAGGTATTTTGTGCCCCGCCCCACCTCCCTGCCAGCGGCCAGTCTCCTGTGTTGGTCAGTTCCTGCTGCACCTCCGCCACCAGCGAACCCTGCGCCCTCCCGGGAACGACAGTGGGGAGGGCTCTGTCCCGGGCCGGGCAGTGGCTCTCCTGTGCTGCCTTCCTGGTGGGGGGACCTCCCTGCTCTCCATGGCCCCCCACATGCCAGCCTCATGTCCAACCTCACACCCAAAGCCCCAGCCATCTGGCGACCCCCAACATGAGGTCTGTCCTAATTCCACAGAATGTTGGCATCTCCCAGACAGCCAGACAAGGTGGCCATGGGGTGAGGGCCGGAGCCTCCAGGGTCGGCTGCTGCCACCGTTCTCATGGCACATGTGTGGGGAGCTGGACTTGGCGGCTGGCAGGGTGAGGACCTCAGTGTATCCACTGGCCACCTGTGGCAGAAACATCAGTTCTGGCCCCCGTTTGGTGACTTGGGTCAGATGGGCTTTTCAAAACAACTGTCCCTGTTAGGAGAGGCCAACAGGACACCGCCTGGCTCTGAGCAGCTGGGTGGCCACGTGTCCACATCCCTGGGCACCGGCTCACAGCACCTCTTCACCTGCGGCCCCGGGAGGGCCTCGCTGTGGTCACCAGGTTGGGGCACCAGGCCGAGGCACGTGGGCGTTCCAGAGACGAGCCCTCTGGGGGAGAGGGTATGAGCACAGCGTCCTCGCATCGAGGCAAGCACCAGTCCCTCAGCTGTCTCCCCAGAAGGCAAGTCCCCTCTGTGCTGGCAGCCGGGGTGTGCAGCTCCCCGACCTCAGGACGTCCAGTGTGTGGATCGAGGGACAAGTTCCAGGGCTGTCCACAGTGCGGCAGGGAGTCAGGCTCGGGTCCGCTCGAGGACCCACCGGCTTCTTCCTCCCGTGCTCCCCCAGGGTCGCCGTGAAATGCTCAGGGCACTTGATGCTGTCGGCGTGAGGGACTTGTTCCACGGCAGCCCCGGGGCTGGGGTGACCAGGGAGCCGTGGAGGGGCCTGTGCACATCTGCCATCGCCCTCAGGGTCTTCCAGGAGGAAAGCAATGGCTTAGTGGTGAGTGACAAGAATGAAGGGAGCCGGTGGCATCACTGGGCGGCCAGAGCAACTGTCCAGGGCCCTCAGGGGTGACTCCTGCGGTGGGTAGGGTTGTTTGTAGGACGACTGGTCATCACACAGACACGTTAGGAGCCGCTGGTCACTACAGCACACACAGATTAGTGGAGATTAGGAACAACGTCCCCAGGGAGGTGGGGATGTCATGTCAGGCAAGCCGATGGCCGAGGATGCAAGCTCAGCTGCCCAGTCTGGTGAGCCCCGCGGGCGGACCGGGCGAGGGGGCACTCAGTAGTCTGGGCAAGGCTCTCCTCCCCGCAGGGCACCGGCCCCTCAGGACTGGGGGATCTGCTGACACCGGGTGGGGCTGGGCGGGAGCCTGGCGGCGGCACTCTGCTCCGTGCGGAAGCTGTACTCGTACTGCAGGGGGGGGGACAGGGGACAGAGAGCACAGTCAGTGTGTGAGGACACCACAGAAAACCACTCCACGGCCTCGGCCCAGCCCAGGCAGAGGCCAAGGTCACCCTGCTGAATATCCAGCCGCAGGAAGGGCTGCCTTCTGCGTCTGCGTGTGCACATGGACTGTGGGTGTGAGCTCTGTGTGTGCGTGTGTGTAGACATGCCTCTGGTGCTGTAGGGGCTGGCTGCTTTGTGACAACTGGTGCCTTTCACAGTCCTGGGCCTGTTCCCCACCGGGTGAGGCCTCAGCACCAGCGGTGACCGCGATGCCCGTGGCAGACATGCGTGAGCTGACCGATGGCCCTCCTGCCTCCAGGGCCCAGCAATGCTGCTCGTGCTCCTGCTGGAAGGGGAGTCACACGGCTGGGAAGGGCAGATCTGCGACTCCAGCCACAGCCACCAGGCTCAGGGGACCCCTGGACTAGCTGCTCTGCTCAGTGCTTCCTGAGCACCATGGTGACAGACACTCCAGGTGATGCGGGACATGGAATGGACACCACCCTATACCTGCTTTCCTCTCTGAGTTCCCAGACCCACTCCCTGAAGGGCGTGCGACTGTCCTCACGAACTGATGAGGACCCGAGGCTCTGTAAGGGCAGCACCCCACGGGCCACCCAGCCTGAGCCAGGACAGGGTACCAGCCGCACGCTGGAGGCCAGAGCTTCCCGGAAGCAACCTTGGGTCACAAAAATGAGGAAAGGTGGGTCCCAAGTCTGATAGAAATTCAGAGAAGGGGCAAGGATGTCTGCTGGGGAGGGGGCACCTGCGGTTCACCTTGGAGGCCAGGTAGGAATACAACGTCCCAGCGAGGGGCAGGTGTGCCAGGTGGAAGTGTGGGCACAGGTAAGGAGGGGCCAGCGGGCACCGTGGGCAGGAGCTTCTGGGGTTGTAGCATGGGGAATGGCCTGGAACACTATGCCGAGGCAGCATGTGGTCCTATGGGTTTTAGGAATGAGGAGCTTAGACTAGGTCAATGGCTGCTGTGTATTCTAGCAGTGGAATTGCCATAAAACAGGGTTCCCCTACATACAGCAGAGTGAAGTGGAGCTGCCTAGGTGAACTCAGCCACCACCCGAGGCTGTCTCCTCAGGGGACACTGGGTGGGGGGGCGGCTCTTAGGAAGATGGTATGGAACCATACCAGCAGGAGGGTGACTACGGGGTGCCCACCACAGGGAAGGCTGCAGACCCCAGCCTGGGACTCCAACTGCCCCTGCCCACCTCCTCCCGCCGGGCGCACTGGCAAAGCCTGGCTTGCCCAGCTCCCCCAACCTCCCCAAAATGAGCTGCCTGCAACAAGGCTGAGGGCTGCGCTGAGCGAGAACAGCTAAGAGGTGAAAGGTTGGAGGGAGAGTTCAAGAATGACGGGGCGGGGGGCTGAGCCAGCCAGCACTGTGTCTTCGGCCACCCCTGCCTTATGGTCCCCTAGGGCTGACCCAGGATGGACAGACACTCAGTGAACTCATCTCTATAGGGCAGGTCATGTCAAGAAGGAAGCACTGGCGAGGATGTGGAGAGAAGGGAACCCTGTGCACTGCTGGTGGAAATGCGAGCTGTGCAGCCACTATGGAAAACAGTAGGGAGGATCCCCCCCAAAATGAAACAGAACTACCATAGGATCTAGCTATTCCACTTCAGGGCTTTTACCTGAAGAAAAAGGAAAACGCTCGAAAAGACATCTGCTCCCCCATGTTCACTGCAGCATTATTTACAACAGCCCAGACGTGGAAGTGGTCTCAGTGCCATTGCTGGATGAATGGATAAAGAAGATGTGGCACGCGCACACACACACAATGAAATATTATTCAGCCATAAAAAAACGAAATCTTGCCATTTGTGACAACATGGATAGACCTTGGGGACATGCTAAGTGAAAAAAAGTCAGAGAAAGGCACATACTGTATGATCTCATATGTGGAATCTAAAAAACCAAAAAAACCCCGACCGAGCTCAGAGACACACAGAACAGACTGGCGGCTGCCAGAGGTGGGGGGGGGGTGGGGTGGGGTGGGGTGGGGGGTGGTGGTGCGAAATGGGTGAAGGGGGTCAAAAGGTACAAACTTCCAGTTATAACATAGGTCCTGGGGCTACAATGTACAACACGGTGACTATAATAATACTGTATTGCATTTTTAAGACTTGCTAACGAAGTAAATCTTAAAAGTTCTCATAAGGAAAACAAATCTGTAACTATGTATAGTGAGCGATGTTAACTGGACTTAATGAGGGGATCCTTTCGCGATATATACAGATATAGAATCATTACATTGTATACCTGGAAGTAATACAATGATCTATGTCAATTACACCTCCATAAAAAAGGTGGAGTGGCCTCCTGTACTCCCAGGGCTGCTGTGAGGGTGGGACGAGCCTTGGCGGGTTAAGGGCCCGTCCCTGGCACCAGGAAAACAGTCACTGTGCATTTGTTGGCTATGCAGCCAACAAGACCTCGCCCTCATGCCCCCTAACGCCCAGGGCACAGCCCACCGCCAAGGGACGCCAGCTCTGGGGAGGCTGGTGGAACAGTGCAGCCCCGGAGACCTTCAGGCAAAGTTCAGGACAATATCGCCACCTGGTGGCTGCCTGGGTGCATGACAATAGGAAAGGTTCTCTCGTTGGCTCCATCAGCACCTGCCACACCCACCTGGTGCTGGGCACTGGGGCCAGGCAAGAGTCCCACAAGGGTGGCCGGGGAGGGACACTGGCAGAGCAAGGTCATCAACCCAAATTGGCAACACAGGAGGAAGAGCAGGTTAGGGGAGAGAACATGAGTGCCTTTCTGCCAGTGGCCGAGAGTGGTCCTCCGAGGAGCCCCTAGGGGAGCTGCCGGGCTGGGGAGACCTGGAGCCAGGGATGTGGGGCTGGGAACTGGAAGCACCTGAGGGGCAGGGCAGCTGCAGTTACAGGTGTGGAGATGTTGCAAGAAAAGCACCCAGCGTCAGAAGACGAGGACGGCCAGGGAGAGCAGCAGAGGCCAGGGGTGTGCTGGGGACCTCAGCAGGAGCAGCTCTGAGTGGGCGAAGGTTCGAGAGAGGGGTGCAGATGTGCACAGGTGAGTGCGGCCCCTCCTCAGGCACGCAGGGCAGGAGATGCGGGATAAAGCTATTAACGGCAGGCCGGTCAGCCTTTAACACACACCCTGGGGGGTCCTGTTGAAATGTAGATTCTGACTCAGCAGTCTCAGGTGGGGCCTGAGAGCCACGTTTTTATCCAACTACCAGGTGACTGGTGGTCTGGGGACCAACTTAGACAATTCTGTGACCCAATCAATGGGACCTGGGAGCAGATGTGATAGGAGCAGGCAGAGATGGAAGGGCCAGGGACATTAGAGCTAGGCAAGTGGGGGTGGGGGGGAGAGAAGTGGGAAACGGGTGAGGTCTAGGCAGAGGGCTTCCCTTTGGCTGCTCTGAGACCATGCCTGGCCTGGGAGACGCCTGCCTGAGGCAGGAGCAGAGGTGACGCAGCTCTCAGAGGAGGCAACCAGCCCAGTGCCAGGCCCCCAGCCGGGGCACCGTCAAGTGCTGGCGGAGACAGTCGTGGGCTGTCACTTCTTCAGGGGGTTCTGCTGTGCCCTGCTGTGTGCGGCTCTGTGCCAGCCTCCTGGGGGTGGCGGGGAGTGCCTGGGGCAGTCAGCCCTCCTTGATTTGTTGGGGCTGGTCTTCCACAGGGAGCACAGAGGGAGATGGAGGCACCAGCTCCCAGATGTCCACAGCCCCGGCCTCAGACCTGGCTGCTGACGGCGGAGGGCCCAGAAAAGGGCACTTCCAGTTTCTGGATGGCAGAGTGGGTGGGAGACGGAGGGACAGCAGGACATTTCCGAGTCCGAGGAAGTGGCTGACGAGGTGGAAGTGCCTTGGTGGGGAGTCATGCGCCAGTCTTTGTGGCCAGGAGGTGGGACATGGCCACTAGGAAGTGGCCATAGGCGGGCCTTCAAGGATGCGCTGCTAAGTTCCCTCACTGGGGCTGGGGGAAGGAGGGAGAAGTTGAAAATACACACACTGCCTTTTTCTGACTCACAGCCGCAACACAACCCTGCCCCCACCCCAGGGGCCAGGGACTCAGGCGCACAGACTGCTGTCCCCGGGCCCCCGCCCCCTGCCCTTGGGATTTTTCCCTTTTTAGGTTATCTTGGCTGGAGAAAAGCCTTACTCCCCTCATCTCTTGTTTTCTCTAACTCCCCGAATGAAATTTCAACATATGTCCCCCGCCATAATCCCCCTTAGGCTGCGGATCACCCGTCCCACAGCCGCTGTCCTCCCCGGGATGGCTGGCCCCAGAGTGTTTGCCCGAGAGACGGGGGCCGCTTCTGGAAGCCCTTTCACTCCCTTGGGCAAACAGCGAGTACCTTTGAAGGTGGATTTGGGCTCGGATCTGTTTACTCAAGACATTAGTCTCCTGCATAAGAAAAACCTGCCCTCGCGGACAAACAGCAAATCCTTTTTGAATTAAAAAAATTTCCAATTAAAAAGCATTTGGGTTCGCAGAGCCGAGCCCAGGGGAGCGGCGCCGGGCCGCGGCGCCCTCTGGTGGACACAGGCCGCCACCGCAGCACGGCAGCGGGCCCGGCGGCCTCTCCAGGAGAGACGTCGCTGTCGGGGGCTCCGACCCGTCCCGTTCCCCGGCGGCCACACCTGCCTCTGGCCGGCAGACACTGCCACTTGACGGGATCAGACCTCCTCCAGCCACGGCGTGCGAGGCCCAGCTTCCAAGAGCCTTTTGTCACGGCGAGACCAGCTGCCCCGAGGAGGCCGTCCCAGGAGCCCCAGCCTGGCTGGTACAAAGGGGGCCACCCAAGCCCCACCCCCAACTCACAGAGGTGCGGTGAGAATCGCCTAAGACGCTTCGGGAAAGCACCTTGAGAGTGGAGAAACGAGTCCTCACGTATCCAACCAGGGACTTCACCAAAGCCAGTGACGCCTGGTCTTGCCCCGGTGCGGTGGGCTGGTTCTGGTTTAACTGGCCCGGTGGGGCAGGCATCCACATTGTTTAAAAAAAAAAAAGCACCCAGGTGATTTCAATGGTTAGGAAGGTGGCAAACCACTACCTGAAAACTTTGACCAGACACAGCAGAGGGAAAGAAGGCAAGCAGACCCCCTCCCTCCCTGGTCTAGGCACGATCAGATCAGTCCGAGGGCTCCGCACCAGGAAGGGCAGGGAGGGACTGTCCCAGCATCTGAGTCTTGCAGATGTGGACACTGAGGCCGGAGAAGGATCAGACTGCTCACAGCCCCCGAGGGAGCCCACGCACGGCTGGACTAGGCCCCCAGTGGCACCTGCACCGGGAACAGGAATAGTGCTGGCAGTTCCACTGGCGTCAGGCAAGCGCAACTCTGAATCACAAGTGGGTGCAATTCGGAGGTGGTGGGGGGGAGAGGGACAGATGTGAGCCAGCGACCCATGCAGGTTGGCACCGTGCTGGATCACGGAAGGGCCTGGCGGGGGCCCAGGCCAGGCCTCAGGGACCTGGCCAGGTGATGACAGGTGGAGGGAAGGAAAGGAGCCAGACTCAAGCCAACCATAAGTGTGGTTCAGGGCTGGGTGACACTGAAGGGTGGGCTCCGCAGTCACGGAGTGTCCCCAAGGCAGATGGATGGGCCTGGCCACGCACAGTCAGAGGCAGGTGGGTGAGGCTCTGAGCAGCAGCCCCGCGTTCCCCACAGCCCACCTCTCCCGAGCCTGCCCTGGCACCTGCTCCGGGGCCCCAGGGCCCAGGCCTGGACACCTGCTCTGCTCATCACCAGTGGTTCAACCCCCTGGGAACTTCAACTACGGAAGCTTCCTCTCCTCATGTGAGGGCTCTGAGTCCTTCCCACCTGTCTCCAGAAGCCTGGTGGCTAGAACTCAGCACCCTGTGGGAGGGAAGGAGGCAGGTGCCCCTGCGAGGAGCAGGCATGCAAGTGCCCACGTCCCAGGGTGCAGGCCTCCTCTGTGTGCTAGGCGAGGGCCCATCCAGCTGATCTTGAACCCGTCCACCCTCTCAGCTACTGAGGGCAGACGGAGGACCAGAGGGGAGCGACGAGCCCGAGGCACGTGACGCTCTGTGGTCTGAGTCCTCTCGTTTTGTCCCAGGGGAGCCTTTGTCTCATACTTGGATTGTGGTTCCACAGAGACATCCGAAAACTGGGTGATGGGGGAAGCCCGGGGTCAACATGCGTGCGGAACTGCTCTACCTGAGGAAGGCTGTCCACGTGCAGACTGGGGCACAGGGGCCGGTGGGGAAGCCAGGACTGCCCTCCCCAAACCTCCAAGAGGTTCTAGAACCCCCCGGAGCTGGGAGAATGCCTTGTTCAACCTCGTCATTTGGTGAGAACCCAGCTCAGGGCTCGTGGGTTACAGCCACGACCCCTGTGGCCACTAATAAGGCGAGAGGAGTGGCAGGAGCTGCTGGGTCCCAAGTCAGGGTGCCGGGACCGGATCCTCCTATCCTGTGAAGCTGGAACCACTGCCCTTCCCACGACAGGAGAGCAGACCGATGCCAGACCAAGGCCAGCAGGGGCAGCCGGGAGGCCCTTTAACTACCACGTCCCATATGGATGATCCGGTTGGTCCCATAACAACCCCACAGAGGGTCAGCGTGGCTCCTGCAGACCATCTGGGAAGCCGTTTCTGTGCTTCCATCCTTGCGCTCCCGCTGGGCTCATGAGCTCTAACCTGAGAGCAGCAACCGGAGTCAGGAGCCCCGAGCTCCACCCAGTCCCACTGCTGGTCTCCCCCTAAATGAGGGGCTGAAAAGGGCCCCTCCACGGCTCACCTGCTCCAGGAGCAGGAACCACGGCTGTCAGGCACTGGGCCAGGCACGGAGCTGGCCTGGGGAGGGGCTCTGTAAGCAGCGCTGAGTGACTGCATGGCCGGGCACGGACCCAGCCCCTGCATCTTTCCACTGAGGCATCGGGGTCATTTTCAGCAATCCTCATCGGACCCACCCTCCCTGCTTTCCTGTTCTAAGCCTGGGACTGCTAGAGGCTGTGGCCCAGAATAGATGAACGAATGAACGAAGGACGGATTGGTGGACAGGTGCGTGGATGGGTGACGGGATGGGTCAGGCTCTGGGCACAGCTCAGTGCACAGGAGAGAAGGCAGCTGGCGTGAGGACTCAGTCCTCGGGCAGGCAGGGGGTCACTCTGGTTTTCGGTCTTCTGTGGAAGCAGCAGTATCATTCCAGCCCTGGCCCTCTGAATTCTCACTGCCCTCTGAGGCTGATGGTGTGATGGCCCCCAGCCTGTGGTATTTAACTCATGCATGTAAGTACTGAGCCCAGGGCTGGTCCACATCACCCCTGCGGATGGCGGAATTCTGAGTCTAGGTGATTTCTGTTTGTATCTCTGTGCACAGACCCTGTGCAAGTGGGAGGTTCACACATTGTTGGCCTATGTGGTGTTTAGAAATAGAAACATGGGAAAAGTTGAGAGACTCTGCGTAAAATGCCAACATTTTCCAAGCTTTCATTAAAAAAAAAAAGGGGGATATGCCAATTCTGGACCTCCATTCTTTTTTTTTTTTTTTTTTTTAAGATTTTATTTTTTTCCTTTTTCTCCCCAAAGCCCCCCGGTACATAGTTGTATATTCTTCGTTGTGGGTCCTTCTAGTTGTGGCATGTGGGACGCTGCCTCAGCGTGGTTTGATGAGCAGTGCCATGTCCGCGCCCAGGATTCGAACCAACGAAACACTGGGTCGCTGGCAGCGGAGCGCGCGGACTAAACCACTCGGCCACGGGGCCAGCCCCTGGACCTCCATTCTTGCACAGCAACCACGAGCCTCACACAGGTGAGTGGAAGCTGTTTTCTTCAGAGAGGCATGCGCTTTCCAGTCTGCCACAGTCCTCACCACTCCCTAGAAATGGCCCAACCTGGCAGAGTGCCAAGTGCCATTTTATCACTGTGATTGTATTTTGTGTGTGAGCGTGTGGGGTGATGTGGACAAAGAAAGGAAGAAAGTAACATCTTTCTTGGACCCGTGACTATTAAAAGTAGGAAAATTAAAGACTGAGAAGGCACACATTTTAAGGAAAATGGGGAAAACACATTTTGTGGTGGAACTGAAGATTTCTGCATGACTGATAAGGACACCAAATGTGTCTTGCTCTCCTGGGCCCCTCCCTTGTCACGGGGCGGCTGGCGGGCACCTGCGTGTCCAGCCTGTGTGCCCTGCCTGTGGCTCTGGGCGGGGCTGGGGACTGACAGATGCCTTTACTGCTGAATAAATGCCATTTCTGTGTCTGCAAACAGCCATGAGGGCTTGCCCCTCATCAAGTCAACATTTCAGAGTTCACCTGAATATCACCTAAAAAATGGATATTTGTATTTTCCCTCTCCTAGGTTATTTGTAGAAAAAGATTTAAAACAATACCGCTTTCCAGCCCCGACTTCTGGGTGGAAGACGAGAAGCCATGGGGTCACTCTGGGAAGGAAGGTGCCCTCCTCATTCTTTATCTCCTCTTTATGCTCCTTTTTTACCTACATGCCAGGCAACCTTCTCAGAGTTCAATTTGGGGGGTATGACTTTAAAACTTGGGGGACGAAAGTTCCCAAAATGCTAAGAAAAGGGTAGAAAAATCTCTGAATGAAGGACTTGCAACAGACTGAATATTTATCCTGACTTCAGTTTTGCCCAAATAGGGACACAACTCACGACGGTACCCGGGCAGGAAATTCTGCCTGCCGAGCGTCACCTCTGCTTCTGCTTTATCCGCGGCTCAGCCTGGTTCTCTCATCCTTACGACGAACACCCTGGGCCACCTCAGAAGCAACCTGTGTGCTGGCTGCCGCCTGGCCAACACTGCGACCCACAGAACCAAGAAGGGTGCTGGGGGAGGGGGACCCTGAGGCTCTCCGAATTAGGAGCTCTTTTAATATAATCTACCATATTAATATGCCCGTGGAGAAAAAATATGATCATCTCAATAGATGATTAAAAGACATTTATCAAAAAGCCACCACCCATTTCTGATAAAAACATTTAGGAAAATAGAAATAGATGGCTAATTCTTTAACATGATAAAAAAAAAAAAAGATGTCTATATATAGCAAGCCAAAACACAGCATTATGGGTTAATATTGAAATTAGAAGCCTCCATGAAAAACACAGATAAGACAAGGGGATCTGGTGACCTGCAAGTGCCGGCCGTGGTGTCAGGGACAAGCTCCAGGAAGAGGAACGAATGCTGGAAGAAAGGAGGCTGGCACCGGTGTTTGCAGATGACACAACTCCCTGCCTGGGAAACTGAAGGAAAGCAACTGAGAAACCACCAGAAACAATAAAAGAAGCCAGTGAGAGAGCCAGCTCCAAAGGAAAATGCAAAAGTCAACAGCTTTTTGATATAGAAATGCCAGAAAATCTAATGCCAGAACAGAGCCCGTTTGCAAGAGCCACAAAAACATAAGGCACCCGGAATAACCTAGAAAGAACACCATCCACTCTGCCAAGTGACAAAAACAGACCCGGGTGGAGACTCTCCATCTAAAACGCCAGCCACTCCCCCCCCGCCCCCCCCGGATCTGTATGCTCAGCGCAGTCACAATAAACATGGAGAAGGCAGTTACGGGAAACCCTCCTCCCAGAAAGAGTCTGAAGTTCAACTGGAAGAATAATCGTGTGAATATAAATAGGAAAATTGGGGGGGGGGGGGGAACTAACCCTATCATACATTAAAGCTTATTATAAAGCTGTCAGATTCAAAACAGTGTGGTAATAACCGAAAAAGAACAGAGTAAAGAAAAATGTCCATTGATCCACTTATGTATGGAACTAGGAGAAAAAGGTAGCATTTAAACTTCATTAAGAAAACTGGCTAGCACTTTAGGGTAAAACGCAGCTGCTTCTACTTTATACCCTCTAATAAACTGCAGATGGATTAAGTTGTTGAAAAGTATTCAATATTTTAATACATTAAAATACAAAAGGGTAGGAGAAAATAGGGGTGAATATTTTTATAATCTTCTAAGTACGACATGAAACCA